AAAGGGTGTGGGGACAGCCTGGAGTGGCCTCCTGGCACTTCTTGCCCTGTCCCCATGCCCCTTGCGTGGGAACAGGAGGCTCCGACACCCTTTTCTGTCTCTATCAGGGACTTTCATCATCTGCTTGGCTCCAGTGTGCAGAGATGGGCTCTGCCTCTGTGGTGGGATTGAATAGTCCAACAGCAGTGGGACTTCAGGTGAAGTAGGAAACAGTACCTCCGGGGTCTTGGGCCTCAAAGAAGTTTTCCTTCCCTTAGGGCAAGGTGGGCTGTCCTACTGAAACTCTGTAGACATCACAGTTTCTGGCCCTGTTGGTATCTGCTAAGTGCTAAGGATTCTGTAGATTATTACTCAGCCCAAGGGAAGCTCAGTCATGGTTGACACACCTCTGAGCAGCTGCTACCACACAGCGCTGCCCTGAGTCTTCTCCCTGGCTCACCTTGGCCTCCATGCTCACTGGCCCTGTCTTGACACTCCTCATGGAGTTAGCACGACTTATCTTACTGTCTCCAGTCTGTTCTGCTCCCTCCTGTCCACCCTTCTCCGGGCCAAGAAAGCCACAGACACCCCACATCCCATCACCGCTCGCTCGCTTCTGCTCAAAGACCTGCCAGCTCCCCATTATCCCGGCAGCTGGCTCCACGGGGGGCCATTCAAGGCCCTCCCTGCACAGGCTAACAGGCATCTGCCTGCCTTCCTCAGCTCCCTGCTTCAGCCACACTCCCCCCTCTGCTCTCAGAGGGTGTCTAAGCCTCCCAGCTTTGGCTCACAGGGAGATAAAAATCCCAGCTCTTAAAAAAGCCTCCTCCTACCTCCAAGAGACCCACCTTGGAGACCCATCTGCCCCTCGGTGGTGAGACAGCCCCTTCTTGCTCCTCAGATCTCTCCAAAGCCCCACTTGGCACTCTCGCTTCTCCTCTCCCTCTTCTCTGCCCCCCAGAAACTCAGGGAGGACAACTGCCAGACTTGTTCAGCCAAGAATCCCCACGGGGTATGGGATAAGCACCCCCTGGTTGGGTGGACACAGGGGGGGTTCCCTGGAGAAAGCCTTGGAGCCCCACCTACTGCGACCTCCCCTCCACCTGGTCCTTTCTTCAGCCTCCATGCTCCCTCCACAGTGCTCCAAGGAGCACAGGACAGAGAGAATCAATCACTGTCCGTCACTTGGCATCTGTTTCCTCATGTGAACCAGACCGCCATCTCCGACATCCCCCTGCCTCAGATTCCTTCTGTGGCTATTAATAACACCTGCTAAGGAACTGTCAGGCACCTTACTGGAACTGGACAAATGTGGTTTCCAAACCCACGGGGGAGGGGTGGTGGTGGATTTTTGTTTTATTCGTGATGCTGACCGATGACTTTGAATAAATGGAGGCCTGCACAGTCTGCAATTTCTGATCCTCCTGCCCTCCAACGGGGCAAAGGAGTTATAGCCAGCAGCTTGAAGATGGGAAAACAAGGCTGGCAGAAGAGCAGGGTGCCAGCTCACAGACCAAGGACCACACAAAGGGGACCTTTTCTCATCTCCTACCCTATTCTCCTAAGCCCATTCCTTCCTGCCCTTGTCTTCATTGGCACCCACCCCAGTGCCTAGTCACAGGGCACAGAGCAGAACCCTCTCGTCGAAGGGGGCACAGCCTGCTGACAGAAACCAGTATCTAACAGGCACACAGGCACAGCTGTATGAAGGGAATCTTGGGGTGCCTCGACGTGTGGCTTGGCCCTCGGTGACCTTGTGGGAAACTTCCAACTGACCTAGACAAGCCGTTGTCGTAGGCACACCTGCTGGCCAGGTGTGAGCTGATGACCCTGGTGGAACCTGCTGCAAGAACCCTCACCTCTAGCCCTTCCTAGGCTCCCCAGGTCCCCCTGCCCCCAAGACTATCCCTTTACAACTGCCCTTTCCACCGCAGGATCCAGACACAAATTGTACTTTAAATTCAATATTGGTCATTAATATTTCATGATTACAAAACGTTAAAGATAATGTCAGTGGAAGGCGCGTCTGCATGGACAGGATGGATGACTCAGAGGTTCGGGGAGAGAGGAGCCAGCATACTAAGTGGGCCCAAGCCTTTGAGGTAATCCAGCGTGACAGGCGGCTGCTCTGGCTGAGGGCGACAGCCTCTGAGGGGCCCACAGAGCACGCATGTATAAATATTCCCCCTCTGATCCTTGTCACCTCTTGTTTGTTCCGCCTGGGAGCAGGTGGGGCCGTGGGACCCCTAGCTCACCTCCTCTGCCTCTGAGGGAGCCCCAAGGACACCTCAGTGGGACGAGGGGCCTGAGGGTGCAGCCAGCGGGGTGGCTCCCTAAAGCAGGCTCTCCCGCTTGAACCCAGAGTTGCCAGTTTGGCTAGTCTAGCTGGCCGGCTTTCACTAGAGAGTTCTTGTCTTGGCCTGCCATGCCTGACGGACATTTATGTGGGTGCTGGAGGGATGAAATCTGGTCTTCACTTTTGCATGACCAGCACCCTTCCCACTGAGCCATCTCTCTAGCCTCCCACCTTATTTCTTATTACGTGTGTGTGTGTGTGTGTGTGTGTGTGTGTGTGTGTGTGTGGGCATGCACATGCCATGGCATACCAGTGTGGTCAGAGGACCATTTGCAGGAGCTGGTTCTCACTTTCCAGCACGCGTGTCCCCAGGGATTGAACTCGGGTTGTCGTACTTAAAGGCAAGAGCCTTACCCACTGACCCACCCTGCCAGCCCTTGACTTTTGAGACAGGGTCTCGCACTCAACCTAGGGTTAGCCAGTTCATTTAGGTTGGCTAGCCTGTGACTCCGGGAATTTGCCTGTCTCTGCCTCCTGGTGCTGGGATTATGCCTTTTTTTAATGTAGAAACTGGGGATCTGAACTCAAGAGGAACTTTGTATACTGAGCCATCTCCCCAGCACCACATCAAGGACATGTGACCAGGACACAGCAGGGAGAGCTGTGAGTTCTGGGGTAGGCCAGGCCCGGCTGGGGATTTGCACAAGGAACTTCATCTGAGTCATTAGGTGGAGATTAGGTGAAGGCTTTCTAACACTGACTTGAGTGGGCAGGCACTGTGAATGGCAGCTCAGAGGGCACCTCAGGCACAGACCGGGAGCCACCTTCTCCTCTTAGAGTCTCACTCCCATCCGCACGGTGCTACCGGCAGGTAGCAGGTCTCTGAAAGCAGAGAGGGAGGCCACGCAGCCTTAGGTGGCAGACGTGTGTAGGAGGGAGACCCTGCAAGGGACAGCACTGTGCTTAACTTGAGAGGGGACTTGCTAGTGGCAGGATGTCAGACGGATGACAATCCACAGCTAAGGGTGGAGGCACCTGTTCTGCCTGCCGCAGAGCCGCTGTGGCAGCTGCCTTGGAGCAGGCGAGGGAAGCTCAGAAGGTGGAGGAACTATCCCCCCAACCTCCACCCCCCCAGTCCAGCGCTACTTCCTCTCCAGCCACCTTTGTTCTCTCTTCCAAGCGGAGGAGGAGTGGATTCAAAGGCTCACAGACGCCGAGCTGAGGGCTGAGGCGGCTTTGTGTTTTCCTTTAAACCGCAGTTGAAAGAGAGTAAGGGAACTTCAGCCTAGGGACTTCCTCGGCCCTGCCACGGGCCAGCGGGGCATCCGAAGGGGGAGGAGGAAGAGAAGGTGAGCGCCGGGAGGAGGAGAGGCAGCGGCAGGAGGGCTTTGGGGATAGGGTCGGCTGGCTGGGATGCCCTGAGGCTGAGACTCAGGATCAACCAGATCTCCTGAATCAGTCATGACGCTTCCCAGCAGCTTGCTGACAAGGCCTGCGGAGGTGACAGGCGCCACTGGAGGACAGGCAGAAGCCGAGGAGGCTGGCACTGCCTGGCTCTGCTCAGGTGCCCCACGAGTTTCCTCCTGTTCAGGGCCCTTCCTTTCCCCTCAACCTCCAGACCCTGCTCCCTCAGCACCTCACCCCGCCCATCAGCAGGCTCCGCCTCAGGGTCTTCAGTTTATGCCACAGGCATCTTCTTCTCACTCCCACTCTTTCTGGTCCAGCCTGGGCTATCACCTCCCCTCCCCCAACACTGCTGCTTCTGATCAAGCTCTACACTTCCTGTCAACCCCCCTGTCTATTCCAGACACTGTCCCTCTAATCAAAGCCCTCCCCATTCCAATCTCAGGATGAGTAAAGTCCACCCACTCCCCAACAGTGGTGGACTGGTGGACCACTCTGCCCTCTCCGGCTGCTCTGGCCTCCTGCAATCCCTCTAACATACTGGGCAGCTAGCTACCACCCACCCCAGGGCCTTTGCACAGTCTCTTCCTCCTGCCCGAACTGCTCTCCCCCCGATGAGGGCATGGTGCCCTGATCGTCCCGCGGTCTTTGTGAACAGATCTTCCCCGAGAAGCCTTCGCCCCAGAGAAACATGGCCAACTTTCTTTAGTCCCCTCGGCCTACTACTCCTCTGTACCATGTCACACGGTCTGACCTACTAAGTGCACGTTTCCTCAGCTTGTGGTTGGCCTGGCTGTCTCCTGTGAGGGCAAGACTGGAGAACAGTCCCGTGATACATATCCAAAGAACAAGGGGAGAATGCTGACCTCTATACTAGCTGTTTCCTGCGGAGCTTAGAGCTCCCTATCAGCTCTTCCTGGAGATCTGACTTTTGCCATGCCTATTTCCAGGTGGGATCTTTGCCCCACCTCAACCCTCAGCGCCTCCCTCACACACCTTGACCAACAGTTTAGCCTTTGCTTTGCCCCAGGCGTGATTGGCCCTGCCTATTCGTAAATAAATAAATAAATAAATAAATAAATAAATAAATACATGCCATTTTATTTATTTATTATTTATACAGCACTCTGCCTGCATGTATACCTGCACGCCAGAAGAGGGCACCAGATCTCATTATAGATGGTTAGAAGCCGCCATGTGGTCGCTGGGAATTGAACTTGGGACCTTTGGAAGTACAGCCAGTGTGCCCTTAACCTCTCAGCCATCTCTCCAGCCCGCTGCCTGTTCATTTTTGCCTCTCCACGCACATGACCCAACTCACCTGCTTCCATAGCCAGCACAGTAATGTTGTGCCAGCCAGCGGTTTCACGGTCCAGCCCCTTGCCAGTCACGATGGCACCAGTGTCTGCATCAATGTCGAAGATCTGCTCCAAATCCGAGTCACGGTCGATGGCATACCTGAGTGGGGGACAGGGTTGGGCTGACCAAAAGTGACCTGGTGCCAGGAGCCTGTGCCCATGATCTCACTCTTCTACCTGCTCCAAGAGAGGGACCGCCCCCTAGAGATATAGAGGGCAGGGTGGAAAGTGACCTGGCTTAGCATCTCCCTGGAGCTGGTGCCTGCTGAATGGCAGGGGCAGGGGCAGCCATTCAGAGTCTTAGTTCCCCTTGGATGGTCAGTGGGGCTATGAGCTTATACCCTACAGTTGTGGAGAGGGCTGAAGACCACATCCCTGGGACAGAGTCACAGATGTCTCTTTCTGCTTTGCTAAGAAGGAGACCCCAGAATTGGGCTTCATGGTGAAAGGAGGACTGAAGAAGTGTTTGGGGTGGCAGAGCTGGCTGAGGGCTGTCTCTTCAGTGAAAACAGAGGATGTTAAAATTGCTGAAGTGGGGAGAGCTATTTAGGACCAGGAGTTGGGGTTCTAAGAGAGGGTACAGGCAGCTTAGAATGCTTCTGGGGGCTAGGTGGACCCTGTACCCAGGGCAGCTGAGCCTGGCCTGGGAAGGTCTGAGGCTGGGCCCTACTCCTCCCGCCTGCGCAGCGCTTTTGCTAATCTGCAGCTTTTCAGTTGCCGCGTGAAAAAGCCCTTTGTTCCACCTTCTTCCCAGGCCTTTGTGCTTCAGCTCCAGGCCTGAAAGGCCCGTGTCCAACACATGTCTCAGGCGGCGGAGGCCCAGAGAGGCCCCGCCAGCGCCCGCCGCCACTTCCCACACTGATAACACAGGCGGGGGTGCCGTGGCTACACACAGACAAAGGCCTGGCATGCAGGCAAAGGCGCATTGTGCAGCCAGGATAAAGCAGCCAGGCAGGGAGGGAAGCCGTTGCCTCTGCTCTTCCCTAGCAAACCCAGAGAGGGAAACTGAGACCAAGAAAAACAATACCTGCAGGGCCCGGGGCCTTGGGAGGTGGCTTTTGGAGAGGCCTGGGCTGCAGGCATGATCAAATCTCTCTGGGTCTCAGTTTCCCCATCTCTTCCATGGGGGATAATGGCAACTGCACAGGTCTGAGCCTACCATGTTTCCATTTCCTGTCACTTGCTTTCCCTGTGTGACCCTGAACCAGCCTCCCACCGCCTTAAGTCTGTTTATACATCTATTTCAGAGCCACCTTGCACCCTGGTGTGGATTGGGTGAACTGAAGGAAGGTGATTTCCTATTTCCTGTTGGGGGTGGAGTGAAGGCAAGTGGCAAACTATAGAGAATTGTCCTATGCGCAGAGAAGATATCTTAATTTTATTTCATGTGCAGTGGTGTTTTGCCTGCACGTGTGAGCATGGAACTGGAGCTAGATGGGTGTGAGCTGCCATGTGGGTGCTGGGAATTGAACCCTGGTCTTCTGGAGGAGCAGCTGGGGCTCTTAACCACTGAGGCAGCTCTCCAGGCCCAGGGTGGATCTTTAAGTGTGTGAATGTGCCTGTGCTTCTGGGGCCATCGGGTGCCCTCCTCCGTCACTCTCTATCTTACTGTGTTCTGACAAAGTCTAATCCTGGGTTCGCTGCTTTGCCACGCCAGTGGCCACACTTGGCTTTTAACACTGGTGTTGAGGATTCTGAGCTCTCCAAACTCCAGACACTGCCTCTTCCTGTCCTGGATTGCTGAGTACTGCCTTCTTGACCCTGGCTAGCTAGGGGTGACGGCCTGGAAGTTCAGACCCTTTCCCTGACACTTCCGAGATTACACTTTCCAGCAGCCGTTTATGACATGGACATAAAGCAAACGCCTTCTTTGCGCTACTGAGGGTTGTAAGGGGACAGGGCCCATACATCCCATGAGCTGCTGTCACCACCCCCGCCGATGAGGACACTGAAGCCACCAGGATAAGCTGGGTGTGGCTGTTACAGGCTGTGTCACGCACAAGGCACAAGATTCTACTCACCCAGCCTTACGAGCATCTTCTCAAGGGGCCTGACTTTATTTACGTTAAGGTGTCACATGGGTCAGGTGCATCCCTGGGTCTCCTGACTAGGGGTGCATAATTACAGTCTGCACCCAGAGGTGGGCCTCCAGACTCAGGGTTCTTTCGGGCTTGTTGAACTAATCAAAGAAAGCCTCACTGCATGGAACCTGGGGTCTCCTTTGCCCGGCAGCCTGACACCGCCAGGTACTTCCATGGAAAGGAGGTGGAACAAGACCCTGGGTGTGGCTGAGCTAAAAGGAGTCCCAGAGAGCCCTGTCCCCTTTGCAGATGGAGGGGTGTTGAGGGGGGGGTGCTGACGGAGACAGGATTGAAGGGAGGTGATTTCATATTTGTTGTTGGGGGTGACAAACTACAGGCATGTGCATGGGCAGAGTGGATTTTTTTTTTAAGTGCATGTCTGTGTTTTCCAATAACCCACTTAGCTATGACCCCATCAATACACTGACCCTTTGATGAGGTTAGCACCCCTGAGATCCAGTGCCTCTCTCTCCTCTCTCCCTTTCCTCCTCCTTTCTCTCCCTCCTCTTCCTCCCATTTCTCTCCATTCTTTCCATCCTCCCTCCTTCGCCCAGTGTTTCCTTTTGTTCCTCTTAAAGGAGATGGCAGAGGCTAGAGTCTAAGAATAGACAGCTGTCCCCAAAGCCATGTGTGGGGACCCTACAGGGACACCATGAAACAGTTCAGACTTGGGCAACAGGCTGCAGCCCTGGCTGGCTTCTAGCCCTAGGAGCTAGTGACTGAGTGGGAGGGAAGGGCTCCCTGTGTGGCAAGGGAAGGGGGATGCTGGCGCACCTCCTGGGCATGCAGAGGGCAGGTGCCCTGTCTGAATTGTGAGCAGGGGTGCGTGCTTGTTTGTGTGACCGTGAGTGGGGTATGTGTGTGAAGTGTGCTGAAGTTAGAACAGCACAGGCTGGTGCATCCTTGGCTCCACCCTGGCTCTGTGACCGGGTCCCCTGCCCCCAGACAGGGCACTTCCCTCCTTAGAGCCACATGCAGCACACTGTGCCAGGCACTGCCAGGAGCCCATTCCACTCTAGGGGTATACAGGTGCCCTGTCTGCCTGCCTCAGGACCCTGGCATTTGCTGTTCCTCCTCCCCACATCTCACAGTCTGGCTGTGCCATTCTGCCTCTGTCCACCCCACCCCACCCTGGGAGCCTGACCACTCAGTGCAAATGATCCCTGTGACCCCAGCCAGGGCCCTCAGACCTTCTTTCTCACTCTAGTTTCTTCACAGCCTATATCGGCACTTAGTAACTGTTGATGTTGGAGAGAGCTGTCTTAGCATGTAGTGAGAGGCACTCTTAGTAGGCCTGAAGACCCCTCTCTGGCGGCATGCACCCCAGCACTGGCCTTGCTTCTCGGGTCTGTGCCCCACGCCCTGCCCTGGAACTGCCCTTGGCAGAGTCCCGGCACGTCCCCAGGCCTGGCTCTGCGCCATGCAGGGAAAGCTGGGCGAATGTTTGCGGTGCTAAATTGGACCTGTCTCAAGCTCCCTGCAGGCTCGTCCACATCTGAGGAGCACCAGGGAAGGGGGCCCAGCACAGGGAGATGAAGGAGGGTGAGACGCTGGTTTCAAAGTCTGTACCTTCAGCAGGGATGAAAGAGGAGGAGAGGGAAAGCAAAACAGAGAGGAGGGAGCTGCAGACAGGAGCGCTGACCCGACTGACCGCCCCCTCGTCCTGCCACCCTTGTGATGCTTACAGAAGCAAACCTGCTCTGGTCTCCAGTTTTCTGACAAATAGGGGTGACGCTGTCTTCTCCGAAGAAGGCTGTGGCCAGCCAGAGGCCAGGTGGTATTTAAAGGCTGAGCCTGGTGGCAGGGAGGCAAGGGGCTGTGGCTTCTACCTGGAGGGCGAGTTCCTGTCCTATCTGTGAGGCCCTGGTGCCTTGGGCCCCTGACATCAGTATAAACATTCTTCCACTGGAATGCCTGACCCCCCCACCCACTCCCCCCACACCGGACCAGACCCACAAGCCCAGCTCAGGTCCATTCCCACCAGCTCCAAGAATTCTTCCCAGATCCCTGGGGTTGTCTGTCAGTGTGACAGACTGTGGCAACTAAGTGAGATGGGATCTCATAGGTCAGCATGCCAGGTTGTCCAGGCTGGGCCCTGAGCAACTCTAACAGACCCGTTAACGTAGGTGATGGAGGCGTGTCATCCCACAGAGCCACACGACACAATTCTTAAGCTTCCCTCTCCTCAGTGCCCTGCAGAGCTCACCTCAGTCCATCAACTATGTGACAGGTAGGTTGAGAAGAAGCAGGGCACCCAGGAGCCTCTTTCCTGTCCACCTGACTCTTGGCTAGTCCTCTCACCTGGCCCTTTCTCCATGTCCTTTTCTGCCACAACCACCCTTCCTTCTCCTTCTATCTGAGTTTTCCAACCAAGGCCTGCGGTTCACAAGTCCAGTGACCCCTTCCACCACATCGTGCAGCACCTCCGTCCTGCCTCTGCCTCATTCAGGTCTGACTTTGGCTCTTGGGCTCCCCGCCTCTCTCTAGAGCCCCCTCTTGTCTGCACCGCCTGACACTGGCACGTCCTTGTCTTTCTGGATCTTCACCTGGTCCCTCTCTTTCACTGCTGCTCTGTCTTTTCCCTCAGTCTTGTCCCAGGTCTCTCTCATTCTGTAGCTTGTTCAGTGAGTGTGTGGGGTCCCTCGGTCTATGAGCCTCAGCACCTCAAGGACCTAATAGTAAGTGAGCTGGTAGAGTTCCCCACCATCTGGGTACTGGCTCAGTGGGGGCAAGCATGACTTGGTACAGCAATAGTGTTGCAGGGGCTGGGCTGGATTGGGGTAGGCATTGGGGAGGAGGGGCCAAAGAAGATCTTTTAGAGAGGGATATTGTTGAGCAAAAGGAGTGAGAGGGCAGAGATTTGGACACCTGTGGCCAGGGGCAGTAGCAGCATAGACCCTGATGGGGAGCTGAAAGGAGCTGGAGCCTGCCAAGTAAAGAGGAGGGGAACATTCGGGGGAAAGCCTGGAGGATTCTGGGAAGTTCAGGGTCAGGTTTGAGGGTCAAGATGAAGATGGACTTTCATCCTGAATCTAAGAGGACAAGGGGCAGAGGAGGACAGGCTTAGCTCCATACCCCAGCAAGAACTGTCTGGCTTCTGTAAGGATTGGGGTGGGACAGGCGTGGGCCAGGCTGTGACCACAGCTAGGGAGTACAGGGGAGAAGTCTGGCTACATTTTAAGGTAGAGATTTGAGGGAGAGAGAGGGACAGACAAACAGAGACAGAGAGAGACTAAGATAGAAAGAGAACATGTAACCTAATAGGACAGAAGAGCCCTGTGGAAGGGATAGCTCAAGAAAATAGGGGCTGGTTCTGCTTGGACTTGTTCCTTCTTGACATGGTGGTGGGGTCTGCCATGAGCCCTGAGATGGGCTGCTGAGAGGAGGAACTGGGACATCTCCAGCTGGCAGGCAGAGAGTTTCTCGGGCAGTCTGGGCACTGGCTCTCCATCTTTGTCCCTGTCTTGCCTGGAACTGCCCCCTCTCTGTTTCCCGGCTCCCTGGTTCCCAGTGTCTCTTCCCCTAGCTGCCCTCAGTCTGTTGGGGTAGCATATGGCAGGACAGCAGGCAGCAGGCGTGGCCCCGGGTGGGGGTCTCACCGGACGGGCCGGTTGGCGGCGTCGGGGTCCCGCGCCGTCACCACGCCGACCAGGGAGCCCACCTGCGCATCCTCCTGCACCTCCAGGAGGCCAGAGGGTGGCTGGAACTCAGGGGGCTCATCCACATCGGTCACGGCCACGCGCACAATTGCCTGGTCTCGGAATGTGCCCAGGTCGGCGAAGCGGGGGTCCACAAACTTGTTGAGGGCTTCCAGCACCACTGTGTGCACCTGCTGTGACTCAAAGTCCAGGTGCTGGAGGAGACAGAGAGGGCTGGTCAGCAATGGGCCTGGTGGCTGATGGCATTGTCAGGAAGCAGACACAGCAGGCCGGCAGCCCAGGTCACAGTTGGCCCAGCCCACTACAGTGCTAGCTGTTAGAGGCCCAGACCAACTCTTCCCAGTGTAACGGGGACTTCTGTGGGACCGCTTTGGCTGGAAGCCCACAGTCACCACTTTAGACGACACTAAACCCCGGGTTTCTTGCGTCCCCAGTCAATGCAGCTTCATCGGTCATTCTGTTTACTAGCCACCGGTAGGAGTAATACAGCAGTGGTCTTTTACCCAGGAGGAAACCAGGGCCAGGAGGGCACAGGAACACCCTGAGTAGGTAGCCCCTGGCAAGCTAGGACTCTGAGCCAGGCCAATGTGGCTTCCAAAGCCAGGAGAGAGAAATAGGGGCACAGCTCTGAAGTCTACAGCTCTGGCTTTCTGTCATGAGGTGACTGTGGAGGATCAGGCTTTTAAAAGGCTTTGGGGGAATTAATGAGGCTCCCCAAGGGAAGAAAGCCTTGGCTGTGCTTGCCTCTGGTCATCCTACAAAGGTGAATTTAATGGCAGAGCTTTACTGTGGCCACGCGGTGGTGGTGGGGCTTCCTGGAGTGCCTAAGCCTATGTCCGCCTGGCATACAGGCTCCATCCTCAGCAGCTAGATTCCCCTCTCTCCCTGTCTTGTTGCCTGAGCAATCGGGACGCGGGGTGTCGGGTGCTGGCCCAGGAATGAAAGATGGCTTCTAAAGCAAGCCATTCATCAGGCGGGGCTCTGGAGCCATTGCTGACTCTGCCACAGACACCTCAGGCCCCTACGGGAGCCACCACACTGCAGAGCACGGGGATGAGAGAAAACCAGCCTGCTGGGATGAGGTCTGGTGCTGTGGACTTTAGGAAACCATGGAGTGCTGTGGGCTGCGGGCTGCTCCGGGTCCCCCTAGCTCCCATCAGTGACTCTGGGCCTGTCTTAGAGTTGGGGACACGGAATCGAACACTAATTATTCTGCAGCCGAAACCCCGAGCTAGTGTTCCTACTGGGCTGTCCCAGTTGAGTGACCTTGGCAGGGCATTGAACCTTTGGGGGGCACACACAGGCCTGCAACAACGTGTGGACCAGGGAAGGGGACATGAGCCTTCCGCTGGAAGTATGTTTGAAGGCATAGCCCTCAAGGCTTGGCACCCTGAGTCTTCACAGCCATCGCCAAGTCCCGGGAGACAGATTCTTGCTTTGTTATGGGACCTCTTTTCCCATCCTCTCAGGAGCCCTGGGGTCTGTGGGGCGAGGCTCCTGGGTCGGCCAGGCGGTGAGTTCAGCTGCTGGATGTAGTGGGGGCAAGGCTTGGGTTCAAATCCCAACTCTGTCCCTCCCAGATGTGGTCTTGGCAAACTCCTTTCTCCTTCTCTACCTCTCTCACTAGTCAGAATGGGGATTGTGACCTTTCCTCCCAAGGGAAGCATGGGGATTAAAGGAAAGGACTAGTGAAGGGCCAGGGACGCGTTCAAGCAGCCCACAGCGATGTTTTAGGAGCATGGACTCCAATCTGAACTCACAAAGAGCTGCTCAACCATGAGTAGGATCACTTACCCTCTCAAACTCATTTTATCTCTTGTGAGTTGGGAACGAGACACCAAGTCCTCAGCCCCGAAGGCGGAGGAGGTAGGGTCCCCTCTCTTCCACAGCTGGCCCTGGTACCTGCCTTCCCACCCTGCCCAAGGCTGTGTACCTTCTGTACTACTATGATGGCTTCCTGAGTGTCGCTGTCCGTGGTGACCTTGAATGCGTCTCCTCCGCTGCCGCTCTCCTCTCTCAGGTGGTAAGTCATGTCTGTGTTCTCGCCCACATCCGAGTCCTCGGCCTTTACTCGGCCCACGGCCGTGCCGATGGGCGCTGACTCCTGTATGCTGAACTGGTACATCTCTGTGGGGAACATGCCAGGAGGTTGACCCAGGCCTCTGCCAGAGTGGGGGAAGAGGAGGAGGGGCCTGGTGTGCCTGGGGTGGGGTTACATCTGCAGGGAGATTTTTCTGGCCAGGTGGGAATTTCAGACTTCTATGGGCCTGTCCTCTGAAGAAGGGCAGAGGCCAGGTGATTAGAAGTCTCTCGTTCCACTGCTAGGCTTCCTGGTTGATGGCATGGGGCAACTATGCCACCCTTGAGGTCTGTTTCTCCACTTGCCAGGGGGACAGAGGAGGACTACCATGAAGGATCAGGCTCTGGAGCCACTTCTGGAGCCTGTGCTTCAGATCCCTCATCTGTGAAATGGGAAGAACACCTTCCTAACAGCAGTGTTGCTATGACAACCAGATGCTGCCGCTGCCCATGAGGTGTGAAGTACCATGCACTGGCTTGCATGGAAATGACTGGCTTGTGCCATCTCACACTGATGGTGTTCGTGTCACCTCTGGGGACCTCTGATATCCCGGACAGTGTACAGTAGAAGAGGGCACTGAAAAAGGGGCGAGGGGGTTAGCCAAAAGCGGCAGATAGCTGGGAAAACATACTAGACAGAGGAGATGGCAGGTGCAAACACTCTGAGGTGAGCACTGTCTGGCAGGGATGGCCCCAGAGAGTGAAGGGAACCCAGGTGATGTGCCAGCAGCATTCTTCTCCCTGGGCCTACAAGAAGGTGAGAGTGCCCTGCTGAATGGCGGTCAGCCCAGGTGAACTTTGGGAGTTTGCCTCTTGGGGCCATCAAATGCCTGGGGACCTTCGGACGGCGTGGCTACCTTTTTCTCACATTCAACCTTGAGAGGATCCTTGCTCTAATCTCTCCACAGCTCCCCACTGACGTTGGCGTAGGCATGGCAAGTCCCTCGGTCTGCCCCACACTGCCAGCCCATCCAATAGCCCGGTTCTCATTCCGCCCTGCTGGATGGACCGGTGACCATCCCGCACAACTCATGGCTCGCCTGCAGGTGCCCGGTCTTCACCTTCCCTTACCACTGTCTTTTTTGGGGACCCTCCCTGCACCTTCATCTGCTCCTGTCCCAGAGTCCCAGGAATGTTCTAGCAGGCACTATTGCGCTTCTCTCAAACTCTCTTCCCTCTGGGCTGAGTGTGTAATGTGGGAGGCGAGGGTCGTGGCTCTCTGCCATTCAGCAGGCACAGCACACTGCCTCCTGGGTGGAATGTATTGGTGAGCGACTCAGCCTGCCCCGCAAGATGCGCTGTATCGGTGGTGAGCCACTAAATAAAAGCCAGCTGCAATCACAAATAGGCAGTCTCCAGGTTCTTCCAGACTAAAGAGTCTAACAACATCCAGTGCTGGTGAGGATGTGGTACAAGGGGCAAGCACATTTCTTCACGAGGATGCGCTTCCCAGATACACTAGAGAAGTGTTTGCAGATGGGCACCAGGAGGCAAGGGCAACTAGGTTCAAAGTTCGCAATAACTCCATCTAGCAACAAGCCAAGAACCCAGAGGGATAGATACAGGGTGACTACTGTACAGCAAGGAAAAGAAACAGAACTAGAAGAAACAACCTGAGTTAGGAACATAATCCTGAAAGTCAAAGGCACACAGAAATTTATATACCATACGGTTTCACATATCTGGGGTTCACCAAGGGGCTGAATTAGACCATAGTGCCTGGCGATACGTAGCGAGGAGAGCAGACTTTCAGAAAAGCGTAGAAATGATGGCAACAGGCAGAGCGGGGGTTGGTACTGTTGGAGAGGGAAGATGCTGTGGAAAGTTACATGGGGATTCTGAGTCCTGCTGGTGGGGCTGAGTGTCGGCTCTGGGCTTTTCTACTGTTTGCCCTCCTTTCCGCTATAGTCACAACGAAGAAATGAGGGCAGGAGAAAAGGGGAAAAAGGAAAAGAGGGAGGGAAGGGGGAAGGAGGGGAGATAGAAGAAAGAAGAGGTGGGGGAGGGGGGAGGGAGGGAGGGAGGGAAGGAGGGAGGGAGGGAGGGAGGAATGTGTCTAGCATCCTTTTGGCTGGGCCTCCTCCCTTCTCTGCCCCTCATGTAGAGCCTACTGCCCGGAGCCTTGTTGCTGCTGGCTAGCCTGAAGCTTTCCCTTTGGGAACAGGAGTGCTGGGGCCTGCCTCCGGGCCTGGTGTCTGCAGACTGCGCTAGAGCACACCCTGTGCTGCTAAATGCCTGCTGTGAGCTCAGCTAAGGGATTGCATTCACTTATCTCACGGGGTCAGTCCTCTGTGGCGGGGCCTAATATGAGAGCAGCGGACCTCGGGTAATGACCCACCTGATAGGAATCAGCCGCTCTGGCGGCGTTTAGTCTTTGCCAGCTGAAGCTGCAGCTTCCTGGTGGCGGCTGGGCCCGAGCCTGGGCCAGCCTGGCCATCCAGGCTGACAGACAGGTGAGGGCCTGATCCAGAGAGGCTCCCTGTCCTGAATTGTGCCAGAAGAGGCAAGCCTTCCCAATTCATCTGCACAGATAGCCTCCAGGCTCCAGGCTCAGGCTCCAGGCGACCTTGTCCTCAGACTGGGCTTCCCTGGGCTTCACTATGGGTGTCCCTCTGCCTAAACCTCTGTGAGCCTTTAACACATCATTACAGGCTTGGGTCATGAATCCAGCAGTAGCTACGAGGCCCTGCAGGGCCAGCAAGAGGGCAAGTGGATGGGCAGAGAGCGGGCAGGGGCTTCCCATATGGGGAGGCCACAGCGGTTCTTCAGTCTGAAAAACCAGATGGACAGGGGTTCCCCCCTGCAGTGGCAGGCTTGGGGAAGATTGGGGAAAGAAGAGCACCCAGGTGGCGGTCCCACCTCATGCAGGAAGCTTCAAAGGAAGCTGGGCTGATAGACAGATACATGGCACAACCCTACTTACTTTGTGGGAAGCGGGGTGGGTTGTCGTTGACATCAGTAACCACGATGGTGACTGTGGTGGAACCTGAGAGGCCACCCAGCTGGCCTGCCATGTCTGTGGCTTGGATAACCACCTCGTAGCGTTCCTGGCTCTCTCGGTCGAGGTCGGGCACAGCTGTCCGGATCACACCTGTGGGTGAGGGAGAGTGGGGACATGGAAGACTCTGGCGAGGCTGAGGCATGGCACAGCCGTGTTGGCCTGTGCAGCAAAGGTTAAGGGAGAGTCATGGGTGGAGCAGACACGTACAGGGTGGTAGTTTGAACGAGAATGGCTCCCAAAGGCTCTATATATTTTCACGTTTGTCCCCAGTTGGTAGAACAGTTTGGGAAGAACTTTAAGGTGTTTGACCTTGTTGGAGGAGGCGTGTCACTGCGGGTGGGCTTTGAGGTTTCAAAACACACACGCCATTCATAGTGTGCCCTCTGTCTCTGCTTCGGAATCAGATGAGCTCTCTCTCTCTCATCTTCTGTTCCAGTGCCGTGCCTGCCTGTCTGCTGCCATGGTCCTCACTGTGATGGTCATGGATCCTAACTGTCTGGAGCTGTGAGTCCCAGTTAAACGTTTAGGATGGGGGTTGTTTGACAGGGTCTCTCTGTGTGGCCCTGGCTGTCCTGGAGCTCCCTCTGCAGACCAGGCAGGCCTCGACCTCACAGAGATCCACCTGCCTCTGCTATGAGTGCTGGGATTGAAGGTGTGTGCCACCATGCCTGGCTAAATGCTTTTCTTCTATCGATTGCCTTGGTAACTAAGCCTCGTGGCCACTGGACTCCCAGAGCTCATCAGCGGGTGCGCACGGACACCAATACCTCACACCTCTCTCACTCGCATACCCCCACACTGGACAATCACAGACAAACAGAGGGGTTTTCTGCAGCTCCTCCCATACACACGCCTACACGCCTCCATACACCAAGGGATAATACCCTGCCACACATGTGCACACACTTCCACGTGTAGACTGGCCGTGCTTCAAACAAAAGACCTCTCGGTTTGCTGAGAGGAGGCCCGTGGACCAGAATTCACCATGGGTACCCTCCCTGGGTGGCCAGTCCCACGGCGGTCTCAGTGTCCCCCAGGATCTGGTGTGTGTGGGCAGGGCGTCTGCATGATTGACTAGTGACCTGTCAGGCAATAGTCACTGAGGTCACAGTCACGCATGCCTGCCTGTCCCCCGGCCCTCCCCGGCACCCCAAGCCTGGGCTCTCTGTCCAGGCTGCAGAGAAGGCCTGAAGAGACCATCTTGCTGGCTGCCCGTGATGCGGAAGGAGAAACGGGAATGCTAGAAGTTAGCTCTGCAGAGAAGATGGTCAGGCCCCATTTCCTATCGGTGTAAGAACCCGGGTCGGGAGGGGGGCGGTTGATGAGGCATTTAGAGCCTCTCCTGATGCCCCCTGCAACCTGCCAAGCACAGGTGGTGACAGGTGGCGCCTGGCCTGAGTGCCAGGTGGAGTCATGCACCAGCAGTCCCAGGATGCGCCCCATAAAACCTGGGCTCCGACTCCTGATGTCCTCAAAGTCCCCGGACTCCAGTAAAGGTAACAGGACAGGAAGAGAGGCTAGTGTGTTGTGTGTGTGTGTGTGTGTGTGTGTGTGTGTGTGTGTGTGTGTGTTGTATATGGTGTGTGGTGTATGTCTGTGTGAGAATGTATATTGTGTGTATATGTTATGTGTGTTGTGTATGTGCTGTGTAGTGTGTGGTGTGTTATGTGTGTGTTGTGTGTGGTTGTGTAATGTGTGCGTTGTGTGTGTGTGTGTGCTGTATTGTGTGACTGGGGTAGGCAGTGGTCAGGGTGATGTGCTTTTTGTGATGGAAAGGGGAGGAAGGAAAGAACATAAAAGGAAGAAAGAAGAGAGGAAGGGAGAGGAGGGAGAGAGAAGCTCAGGACCCTGAGGAAAGAGACAGAGGCGTGGAGGGAAGATGATAGGAGAGACCAGAGAAGATAGACATTTGGGGAGGGGGGCTCCTGAGACAGAAAAGAAGGGAAGGAAAGCAGGAGAAACAGCCAGAACCAGAGAGAAGAGAGAGGGAGACAGAGAGAGGAAAGAGAAGGAAAGGGCAATGCTTCTCAGAGCCAGAGCGAGCGAGCGGCCAGCGCCAACAGCAGGGAGCAAGGACAAATGGCAGGCAGCTATAGTGGCCACCAGGTTGGCAGGCAAGGTCCACAGCAGGAAGTCAGGAGAGGAAGAAGGCTGGCTTTGTTGTTGTTCTGAGAGGGGGTCTCATCTCTCAGGCTGGTCTTGAACTCCTGATCCTCCTGCCTCCACCTCTTGAGTGCTGGAGTACAGGTACGTGCACCACGTCCAGCAGAGAGCTGACCAGCCGGACATTTGCAGGCCGCTTTACGGTCTAGGAGTACACTGAATGACAGTATCCCAGCAGGAGTTAGGGCCACTGTGTAGCTCAAAGCTCTGCACCTCCTGCTCCGAGTGCGAACTAGAACACAAGTCCGGCTCTACCTGAGCAGGTGAGGAGGAGGCCCCAAGCAGCTGGCTTCCCTGTTGTCCCCTTCACTTCCAGCTCCAGAGAGCCCAGGGGCATGGCATCTCAGAGAATGAGGTTCAGGAGCCTCTGGGCACCCCGGAGTGGGCAGCAGGGAGCACGTGGCCTCTGGACCCTGTCCTGAGTCATACGCTTCTGTGAGGTTGCTATGGTGATAGTTTCTGATGAAACATTTCCCAGTATTCACAACCCTGGATCATTCTTTCCCACTGACTCTGGCCTCGGGCATGTGTTGTGCTCTGACTTGGGGGTCTTTTCTCTGAGAATACTGAGGCCTATGCACATTGAAGCAGTACAAAAAGGACATGGGGAGAGGAGGCCTAGGACTGCCAGCTGAGTCAGCCCTCAGCTGCCTGACAGCCAAGGGCAGTCCCACAAACCCCAGAACTGCTCAGCTAGCCCACACAACTGTGACAAAGAATAAACCACTGGGTTAGCTTGAAATCTGGTTAGCTGAGCCGTTCCTGGGCTGGCTGGGCCTGGGCTAGTCCATGCAGCTGTGCCTACCTGGAGGGTCGCTTGGCTGAGAGGTCCAAGCTAACCTCACCCTCCCTCTATCCACTGGGCTCCCTCTCCCTCCAGTCAGCCGCCATCCTTCTGTGAGATCTCAGGAACGTGTTCTCGGAGAACAGAGAAACCTCAAGAGGTAAAGGAAGCTGCTTCATAGCCTGATGACCCAGGTTCTGTTCTCACGTGGTAGAAAGAGAGGAGCAAGTCTCACACACCCATACATGGTCCTCTGACCTCTACATGCATTCCTACACGCGTGCACACAGGCAAGATGAATACACAAAATAAATGTAAAAAAGATTTTTTTTTCCCTCTTAAGATGGAGAACAAGAAGAAAATAACTGTGCCTGCCCGGCACGCCTAGCGCTTTCCCCCTCGGTGTTATTCCCTGAGCAAGAGTGAGAGACGCCGATTTCCTACATTCCCTTCACGTAAGTGTCCTCAGTCCTCTGGGGAGGATTTAGAGTACGTGAAAGGATGTGTGAGGTGACATGTCACGACCATGCCACCTTATGCTTCAACAGCCTTGGAGTCTTTGGAGCCAATCCCTGTGAGATACCAGGAGATGAATGACCTGAGTGATAGAGCACAGGGGAAAATTCACATATGGGGCACAAAACCCCAAATCAGCCCATGATCTTGTTCGTTCGTTCGTTCGTTCGTTCGTTCATTCGGCACTTGCTGAGGGTCTGAGATGGGCTGGGAACACACAGCATTGGATACAAAGCACGTAAAAAGGATAGACTTGGGTCAGACAGACAGGGGCCTGGCTATTCGTTCGCTGTTTACACAACCACCCTGAATTTGGACAAGTTCTTGGGTCTACCTGAGTCTGTTCCCTGTTCCATAAAATGTGATGGCTTCTTGCCAGGATCCGGAATTACCTAGGAGGCAGGGCTCCTCTACAGGCACACCTGTAGAGGATTATCTTGATTATGTTAATTGAGCTGGGAGAACCCATCTTAATTATGGGTGGGGCCATTCGTGGCACAGCTCCGGAGAGGGAGCCGAACAGCCGAGCTGGGCCTGCCTCCTTCTCCAGTTACAGATTGTGGATGTGACCGGCTACTTCAAGCTCCTGCTGCCTTGACTTCCTGCTGTGATGGACTGTGGATTGAAGTAAAATAAACCCTTTCAGGCTTAACTCTTTTTTAAAAGGGCACTTTATCATAGCACGAGAAAAAGAAATGAAGACACCTGCCCTGGAGGCTGCGGAGATGAGGTGAGGTTTCTAGGAACACATTTCACTCTTTAAAAAAAGTGTGTGTGTGTGTGTGTGCGCGCGCGCGCGCTCGCGCGCTCGAGTTTGAATGAGATGCTCCTCAAAAGTGTCAAGCATTTGAAAACCTGGTCCCCCGTTGGTGGCTGTTTGGGGAAGAAGTAGGGCATGGGGGCTTCCTGGAGGAGGATTGTCACAAAGGGTGGGCCTCGAGATTCCAAAAGATTCCCACCATCTTGAGTGTCCCTTCTTTGCTTTCTGGTTGTGATATGAATGAAATGTGAGCTGTTCCAACAGCCATGCCTTCGCTCGGCCATTGCGGACGCTAACTCTCTGGAACCGTCAGTCCTTCTAGACCATCTAGACCTAAACTTTCTGTGAGTTTCCTTGGTCATGACGACTTGTGATAGCAATAGAAAAGTAACTAAGACAGGGTGCTTGTGGGTGTGGGCACGCACAGGCACTCGCTGAGGGCAGAGGACAACCTTGAGCGCTCATTCTCACTTCCCATCTCGCTTGAGACAGGGTCTCTCACTCACTGCCTTGTACCCAAGCTATGGTCTGCAAGCTCCTGGGAGTTCTGCCTCGCTCCTCATCACACCACACCATGCACCCGCATACACAGAAACACACACACACATGCATGCATGCACACAGAAACACATGCTCCCATACAAACACACACACACACACACACACACACACATGCGGCTCTGGAATCTGAACTCAGATCTGAACTCAGGGCTTGCATTTTACCCACTGACCCAACAGGTCTCTCATTTCAAAGACTCCTGGCCCATCTTTTTCTTTGTAACCTGGGTTGGGCTCACCTATGGACAAGCCCCAGGGGGCAGGGATTCAGGCTGGTCTTTGCTCAGCCTAAGGGTATCTACAGGGTTTGGGGGGAAGTGCTCAGTTACCAACTGAAATGCTTGAGTGGCCTCTTCTGCCTCCTTCCTGTCCTCCTCACCCAGGTGGCTGGTTCCCTGTCAGAACAAAAATCTACGAGGCTGAAAGTGGAGCTGAGTTCACCATCCCGACCCTGGGACCCAGCTCACGGTAGCTGCTTAGCAACTTTGAGCTGTATCCCCTCTAGGACCAGTGGCCGTCCTTGGCACAGGTGTGACTTTTTAGCCAAGATCCTGACATGTCTGAGGGAGTCTCTCCATTCACGCTGAGGCGGTGGCAGGCAGGGGCTGGCAATCACAACCTGGCCGTGGCTGCCCATGGCCGTGTTCTGACCCAGGGTCCCCAGATCCCGCTGTTGTTTCTGCCCCGCCTCTTCGAGATGCTGCAGAAGGGGACCTGGAGCCTGCATGATGCCTCATTAGCCCGCAAATGCCATCCCTGTCGCCCCTGTGGGGGGGCTGGCTGGCAGGCCTGGCCTTTAAAACACACAAGTTAATTCCTCCTCTGGCACTGGGCCCCGTGGCGCAGCCCCGCCCCCTCCCTTCCTCACACCTTCCTCTCGGGCCTCGCTGCGGCTCTGCTCCCTGCTAGCTGCGCAGCGAGAACAGACTGTACCTCGCAGTGGCGGCTAAATATAGCCCCGCATCGGCGGAATATTCCTGGCTAGGGAAATGGAGACGGGGCTGGCAGTGGTGCCAGGGTGACTGTGGAAGTGAGGCTGGGGTACGAAGGGGAGATCCAGTGCATCCTGGGAAACGTCAGAGTGGACCCCTTTCACACACAGAAGCTGAAGAGATTCCAACAGGGACCCCACTGGGACTCCTCCACCTGGCTTGAAAAGAGTCCCTTTTCTGGCTTCCAAGAAACGGTTTCTGCTTTTCTGGGCCTGTGGACTCCTCATCTGTCTCACCCCTTTTGACCCTTCTGTGGAGGGGGGGTACCCCTCAGAGAGCAGAAGCCTCCTCGCTCTCCCAGAGTCTAACCTTTCACCTGCCTGTCCTTGCTACCTCCCAAATCCAGTCTTGGCCTTGTTACCCCCTTCCCACAGCCATCACCCTCAAAAACCCCATAATCTTACTCTGGCCTGTGACTGTAGCTCAGGCTGTCTCCAAACGCACAGAGATCCCTGCCCCAAGCAAGGGCTGTGTTGAGCACATCACCCACTCCTTGTCGGGATGACCTCACTGCTTATCCCTAGAATTCCCCGTGCCCCTCACTTTATCTGGCTCTGGGTTCCAGGGTCACAGAAAAGCCTGCTCAGGTTTCTGCACCTCCATCTAATCCTTTACGCTACTTGCCAGAACCCACCAAAGCCTGGCATTATGCTTTAATAGGCCTGTACTTGTTTTCTGTATTTCTTTCTCTAGTCGAACCTCCAGGAGGGCAGTTTTGCTGCCATCGCCCAAGCGCCTAACACATACTCAGGCCTGTACTGACTGAATGAACCCAAGAGGTCTCCCCCTGCATTCCTACAAGCTCGTGAGTGAGTCTACAGGGTGAGGGGGGCACTAAAGCTGAAGATGCTGAAGTGAGAAAAGGGATGCAGTGAGATCATGCAAGGGGCAGGCATTGGGCAGGCTGGAGCCCCTGATTCCCCCCTCACCCGTCTCCCGCAGTTACGGGACATTTCAAAAGCCTCAACCACTCTCAGAGCTCCATGTTCATAACTTAGATGGGTGGCTGAAACTTCTAGACGTTTCTTTCCCTCTGTTCCCTGGCACAGTTAAAGCTGGATTATTTAAGATACTTCTTTATTTTTATTTTACATGGATGAATGCTTGCCTGTATGTGTGCATGCAGTGCCTTCGGGGGCCAGAAAAGGGTGTTGGATAACTGGAGTCATAGATAGCTGTAAGCAGCCATGTGGTGTGCTGGGAACCGAACTTGGGTCCTCTGGAAGATCAGCCAATCCTGGTTTTATTTTTCAAATTTGTTTATTCACTTTACATCCCCATAGCAGACACCTCCCTCCTCTTCTCCTGGTCCCACCCTCCTACCCTCTTCCTTCTTTTTCCCTTCTCCTCCTCAGAAAAGGGGAGCCCATTCGCATCAGCACTAAGGGCATCCTCTTTCCCTGAGGCTTGACAAGGCATCCCAACCAGGGGAAAGTGATCCAAAAGCAGACAACAGAGTCCATGTCAGAGACAGCCCCTCCTCTACTTGGTAGAAAATTCTCCTGAAGACTGAGAAGACTGAGCTGCCCACCAGTTTCATATATATATAGGGGGGCTAGGACCAGTCCATGGTCCTCTCTGGTTGGTCAGCCTCTATAGTGAGCCCCTATAGTCCTTAATTGATGCTGTTGGTCTTCTTGTCCAGTTCTTATCCCCTCTAGGTCCCCCTGTCCTTCTCCTCCCTCTTCCACAAGCCTCCCCAAACTCTACCTAATGTTTGCTCTTACTTGCTGCACTCTCTCTCCAGTCCCTAAGGCTGGATTCTTTAGCTCTGCTCCAGACCCTGGGACACATGGGCCAATCCCTTTCTTGTAGAGTTCCCTTAGCTCACTTCCTCCTGTTCCCACAGGAGGCACCACTAAGCTACATGACCACAGGACACTAAGGTGAGGGAGGACGCAGGGGTTCCACTCTGCCTAGTGTCCGCCCCTTGCAAGGTCCACTGCACACCTTCTCTTTCTTCAGCATCCCAACACAGTCAATCCCAACCTTCATCAACTCGGGCCTCCTAACTAGCCAGGTGGTGAGAAAGGGCCAGCTTTTGACTTTCTTGTCTTTTGTGCTGGACACCTAGGCTCTGGGGCCTTCTCTGCTTCCAATCCCTGTCTCAGAACCAAGCTCACTTGCTGTCACCCAAGGGATCTTGTTAAAATGAAAACCCGAACATGTCACTTCCCTGCTCAGAAGTCATCAATGAACCCACAGCATCGGTGAGGAGGAAGGATCAGGGCACGGCAATCCGAGGGTTGGGAATGGAATGTGGTACCTCTAGGCATTATCTGTTGAGATTTCAAATACATGTGCTCTGTGACCCAGCATTTCCACTTCCTGAAAATTACCCTGCAGATACACTCACACTGGCACAAGCTGATGTATGTGTGAGGTTATTCGTGGTAGCACCGTTTGTTGTAGCAAATGATTGGAAACAGGGTATGTGTCCATCAGGAGGGGACTAGCGAAATAAATTTCAGTATATCCATAACAGGCATCAAATAAAAGAATGAGGGCACTCTGTACGGACTGATATGGAGCCATCCTCAAGATGTATTGTTAAGCAAAAGCAGCAAGCTATGTGTATGGCAAAGCAGAGAAGATAAACACGCGTGCCCTATTTCCTTGTACATGCATAGCAGAGCTCTGCAAATATCCACAAGAAAATTACATCGGTTGCCTTGGGGACACAGGCAAGGTGGCTTGGGGACCAGATGAGGTGAAGGATTGCTGCTAAATACTCATTTGAACTTTTTGAATTTTGAACCCTGAGATGTTCTATCTATTTTCAAAATGACTTAATGTTTTTCAAGTGAGTGAGTCTGAGATTGTCCAGACCCTACCCACCAGCCGCTACCTGTGGGGCTGCGGCGGCTGGGGACAGGGAGTGGAGCACTTTCTTCTTAGCACTTCTTTAATGTTTGAATGCTTTCCTGAAATGTCTTGCTTTTGCGAGGAGGTTAGAATAATGAAGATATTATGTGTAAGAGAACACAATTAAACTGAGCTCATAGACTAGATTCCTCCCTCTCCTCCCCAAACCAAACCAAACAAACACATGAACAAAAACCAAAGCCAAATCCATCACACACACCCACACGCGCTGTCCTTAGATTCCGCTTGAGCTCCTGAGCCCTGCCAGCCTGGACTCGTGCACCCCGCGTCCCCTCCCCTAGCTGCCCCGTGCCATACCTTCTCTTTAGGTCTCTAGGTGCCTTCGCCCGCCTCCCCGTGCCTTCTCTCACCTCTCCATCTGATTTTTGTTATCGGATACCTCAAATCCCAATTGTCCCAGCAAATGCCACCACTGCAGTTCCATGGACCATCTATGGCATCTGATAACCATCTCATCTTCCTATCCCGGGGTCAACGAGAATGGCCCACAGGAGGAGCCATTGTCAGCAGCTCTCCCAGCTGTGTGACCTCTGTGACCTTCTGCCTCTCTGAGCCTCTGTCTTCACTGGCACTCTCCCAGGGCTCTCAGAGAATTGGCAGGGTCTAAGCTCCGGGGTGAGTGAAGAGGGGCTTGCTGGGTGCTCAGTGGTGCAAATGTGGGTGAGGGGTAAATGAGGAAGCCTCACCTTATCTTTCCATCAAATCAACAGCTGCTGCAGGAGCAGAGCTTAATACCTGCCTAAAAGGAGCTCCTCCCAGAAGGAGGAGCTTGTGACCCCATACCACACCAGGATCGGTAGTTCCAAGAGGCCAAGTTCAGATCATGAGGCCCTTACAGGGTATAGACAGCTGTGCCCCGCCTCCACACCTCCTGCCTTTCCTCTTTACTCCTCTTGCAGGAGACTCTATTCACTTTCCCTGCCCACCCACCCACAATTCCAGAGTCTCCTGGAACCCAAGATGCCAGTCTACACACGGTCTGTGCTCCCTCAGCATTGCTGGGTCATCAGGCTTGGTGATCTGCCCTGGGTGCCACCACTCTGACCCCGCCCCGGCCCCAGCCCTATCCCTCACCTGTCTTGGAGTCCACTGTGAAGTGTTGCTCGCCATCCAGCACGCTGTACACCAGCCGAGCGCTGCTGCCGTAAGTTGGGTCATCTGCATCCGAGGCCATCACCTGCATCACAGACGTGCCTGGGCCCGGGGGACCAAGCAAGACAACGATCACACAGCGGTCACCTGGAACTTTGTGTCCCTGTCCTCTCCTGGTCCTAGGGAAGCCACGAAAGGAGGAGGCCCTCTGGGAATATACTAGAGGTCACTGGCCAGCCATTCTGCAGCCCTGCCCTCACACTGAGGCCCAACCTGCTTCCTGACCCATGGCCTTCCTAGGGACACAGATGACCATGTAACTGTATCTGGATTCAAGTACCCTTTGGTTCCCAGATGTAGGACCAGCAAGGAAATCTTAGTTTCTCCTCCAAAATGGGCAGAATGCCAGTCCTTGGCCTGCAGGGCAAGTGGGAGGATGGATTTGATATTCCCAGTACCGTGCAGCTAAGGGCAGTCCCTCAAAGGCAGAGAGAACAGTCATAATCTATGTAGTTGTGAGGCACAGTCAGAGCTGGGACTAGAAAGCAGGCCCCTGGGGGTCTTTAGTCACTCCAGCCCCTCTGGATCCATTTTAGACTCAGCCACCTGTCTTCCCTCTCCGAGACAGCAGAGAGAAGTACAGCCAAGCTCACTAGGCCCCAGAGGCTGGGGTCTCCTGGCCCCCCCAGGCAGGAGGACGGCAGTGGGTAGCTCCCCTTTGAAAAGTGGCTAGCTATAGGCCACGATGCCCTCTTGCCCCTCCCCCCTGATGCCCAGACAGCACTGCCCCCCACAAGCCACACACGCTTTTCCTCATGCTCTGCACGTAGGCTGCTGGGGAGAGCATAAATTGGATAAAAGTCCATCAAACAGCGGCAATTAAGTTATTGATTTTCGACGCTGCCTCATTAAACTGGGAGCTTCTCCCGGCCTGTCCCAGAGATGGCTCTAATTTGACATCATGTTCAATTTGACGAAAGCAGGGCTTGGGACGTGAGGCTGGACCAGTGGGGGAGGGGCAGATGGAAGGACCATGGGAACCTTTCTTGGAAAAAAGTGTCTGTGTGTTTGTGTTTCGGTGTGTGTGTGTGTGTGTGTGTGTGTGTGTGTGTGTGTGTGTGTGTAAGATCCAGTGAGTTTGTGGGGTTCAGGATATGAACCAAAGGGAAGGAGACTGAGACCCTACATCTGGGTGATGTCCTCAGTTGGATGCCCTGTGGGGACCTGGGTGAGACCCTTTTGGGGATGAGCTGGGCTCCCCGGGCCAGCGAGCAGCCTGCTGGGAGGTGAGGCCAGTTCACTGCTTGGCTAATGAGGGAGTCTGCATGAGCCGGTGCAGCAATTCTGCTGAGCCCAGCCTGCTGCCCGCCTCTCCCGCCTCCAGCCCGGGGCCCTCCATCACTCCAGACAGACACATGTATTTATTTTTCACTCCTTTGCATTTCTCATTTTCCTCCCTCAGTCCCTCTCCCAGCTGCCGGGGCCTCCTGAGCAGGCCCTGCAAGGCACCTCTCTTTGCCAGCTACAGCTCCGTGCCAACCGCACCCGAGTTGCCCTAAGAAGTTGAGGAGGGGTAACAAACTCTTCCTTATGATGTTGGTAACCCAGGCTTGCCAACTTAGGGCCAAGGACATAGCTCCAATTGCAGAGGAAAGAAGCAGTGGATTTCTGTTGAGCCCCTACTGCGGTGTAACTGGAATCACAGCCTTTTTTTTTTTTTTTTTTTTTTTGAGACAGGGTTTCTCTGTGTAGCCTTGGCTGTCCTGGACTCACTTTGTAGACCAGGCTGGCCTTGAACTCACAGAGACACACCTGCCTCTGCCTCCCAGGTACTGGGATTAAAGGCATGAGCCATCATGGCTGGCTACAGCTTCTTATACCGTCTCTAGTCCATATAGCATTTCAAAGATGCATGGTGGATCACTGAGGAAATGGGTGAGGAAACGGGCCAGATAGGAAAGATTTGTCTGAGTGTACAGAGCTAGGACGTGGTGGAATTTGAACACAGGACTACACTGTCAGAGCCCTTTTGGGGGCTGTCAGCACAGGCCCAGTGACTTTGGGGGAGGTGGTCTGGTCAGACCTTGATCTGATACATGCCATGAACGCTTTTGTGCCTCAACACAGGTGGCAGTCTCAGGGAGTGTGTGTCCATTGTCTCCCCCCCTCCCACCCCGGCTGTGTGCAGAGGTGCAGCCAGGCCTCCCTCACAGAGGCACCGGAGTGGGAGAGGACACAAAAAGTGTCAGGCTTTCCATGGATGCCCGATAAATAGGGCCACTGTAACTGTTAACAGGCAGTCTCCCTGTGTCTTCCCTGGCTGTTTCTTCCATCCCACAGGCAAGTCACAATGCTGGGCTGAGTGACTCCCTGGGGACATGGCTGAGCTCACTCTCTCTCTCCCTGACTGCATCCCAGGGACTCCCTCGGGATGCTGGAATCATTTCCCCAATCCGGGATTCTTTATGGCGGCCATTACAGTTAATGCCGACACGTGGGGATGCTGAAGGGTCAGTGATTCGCCATGGCTCCCCCAGGGCCCTGGGGAAATGGCTTCCTTAGGTCACACATCCCCTCCCCACCAGTCAGAAGCCCCCCCCCCCCAAATTGCCACATAGAAAGATGCCAGCTGGAGGCAGCTGTGAGATCACTTTGGGGTCACCCCCCCCCCCAGGTCAACCGCCATAGCCTCTTGCCAAGCAGCTCACAAGTGCATCGTCAGGCTTCTTCTGTCCTCATGTTGAGTCTGTGACACAGATTGCAGGGGTGGACGGGAAACAAATCTCACTTTCTGGCTTTTGGGTAAGCATTCACACCATGGCCCAACATGAAGCCGCCAACGTGGTGCCAAATGGCCCACCGAATTTCTAAAAGCCAACGTCTAGCTTTGGAGAGTGGAAACCCATGGTCAGACACTAGTACACAACAACCGTGGTGGCATTACACACACAGAAGAATTCTTTCATACCACACACTGTGCTGTGAGCCCTTTACGCACACCATCACATGAAATCTACACAAAAGCCTTGCAGTCAGATCCGTTAACATTTCCAGATTACTAACACCTGTGATGCCAACCTTCAAGGGGGCCAGGATGGGAAGTTACTGTACTTTTGAGGCCAGGCTGTGCTACAGGGTGAGTTCTTATCTTGAGAAGCAAACCAAAAAAAAAAAAAAAAAAAAAAGTTCTCTTTACAGATGAGGAAGCCGAGGCTGAGTTGAAGGATAAGCCTCTTTACCTCTTGGTGCCTCAGCTTCTCGTTTGTGAGGCAGGAAAAAAAGAGTACTCGCTTCCCGGGCTGGAGCCTGTCAAGGACTCAGAGCCCCGTGATCAGAACCAAGGACAGTACCCTCACCCCCATTCCACAGGTTGGGAAGTCAGCTGGGCAGGATTTCAGTGCAGGGTGGATTGGATGTCAAGACTCACGTGTTGGGCCTTCCAGGTAGAAAGAGGGAATTGGCCAGAGTTGAGATAAACTGCGGAGTGAAAGAGGAAAGCGTCCGAGAAAGCAGAAGGCAGGGGTGGAAGTCAGGTTCTCCAAGCCCACCTGTCTCGGAGGGGCTGGGCTGGAAGACGAGGGTTGCCATGCAGAGTGCTGCCTGACCATCCCTGCTTTAGTGCTGCTTAAACGCCTAAACCAAGATGGGACTAGGAAGGGCCACCGGCCTGATTTGGGGTAAACAGGATCTCAGGGCTCAGGGATCCACTCAGAATGTTGAATGTGGGAAGTGGTCCTTAGCACAGACTCCGATGTGCTCAGCCTGGCCACACATTAGCATCCTCTGGGAGCTTTAAAATAAAACTGACACCGAGGCTCCAATTAAATAGGACCAGTTAAATAGGACTCTGGGTGGAGCCCAGGCAAAGGCATTTTTTATAAGTTCCCTGCAGGGCTCAGAATGGATGCAGTGTGGACCCAGCCCCTGCCTGAACCAGGAAGGAAACTGAGTAACGGGAGTACCCAATGACATCCTGAAGTCATTTCTCCAGTACGCAGTAGGGAGACATTTCAACCCAGATCTTCCTGGCCAGGATGTCACTCTCCAGACACCCTGGACCTGCGCTGAAGGTGACATCAAAAAGAACAACAAGCCTGCCTTGTGCTCTAGGTCCCTGAGGCTCCTCCCAGCTTCGGTCAATGTGAGAAGTGGGACCTTCTGAGAGGTGATGTCCCTCTCACTTCCAGGCAGTGTAAGGTAGGCTCTGGCATCACATTCCTGGGTCGCACCCCAGTATGTCTTCACCCTTACTCGACAAGCAAGTCCTCCCTTTGTTTGGCCAGTTTCCCTCTGTGTAATCTGAGACTCCCTGGGTTTAAAGATGATGGATTTGAGAGGCCAGTGGGCCAGATGTATAGCTCGTACTTCACTGCAGCTCATTTTCCAGTCTCTGGATAGTCAGGAGGCACTTAGGGTCCTTGGCCCTGAGTGGGAGACCCCCTGGAAGCCAGCACCAGAGAGAGGGGACATGTCTGCTGCTCATCTCTGATTTATCAGGGTGGCTCTGTTGTTATTCATCATGGCTGGTCTCTTAGCACAGGCTATCCATGGGGTACAAGAGGCCCCAGCAGGCTCCAGGGGAAGGTGGTGCTATGCGGGGTGGAGCTGGAAGACCACAGAGGCAAACTCTCACTCCAGCCCTTTTCCAGGCCCCACAAGTCGCTCTAGTACCCCCACCTCAGAGGTTCCCCGAAATCCCTCTAAAGAGTCACTAATACTTTATCCCTTGTGCATCCAGGATGTGGAGACCCCTTAATGAGATTAAAGAGATTAAGTGCTTTGGCAAAGCTCAGAGTCTTCCCCTGGCTGAGGCGACCAAGTGTCATTATAATGAAGATGTTTCTAATTGTCATCTTCCTTTACCTCCATGCCTCCCTGCTGGGCCTGGGGATACCCTGGGCTCACATTTAGCTACTCCAACATTTGTAAAAACAGAATCCCACCCCCTGCTGCTGCCAGCACCGTGTGGAATGCTTTCTATTAAAATTTAAAAACCACTTGTCGAGTCCCTGGAAACACTCAGATTACACAGGAAACAAGCCCCTTCTCCAAGTCCGCCCCCCCCCCCCCCCAACTCCCTCTTGGATCATCACTTATAATGT